AAAAAAAAAATCACATCCTTGATGGTTTTGCAGAAATGTGTTTACTCTCTAAAACCCCATGCGACATCCCAATGATTAAGCAATTTTAAAAGCTGAGTAATAGACAACAACTCAGACGTCAACTTTCAGAGGAAGCATCAAGTTTGCCTCAAACACACCGGTTTCACTTCTTTTAAAGACATTTTAACCATCTCTCAGCACACAGATCCCACATAAATTGGTTACTTCCTAATTTTATAAGTACAGCAGATCCACAAGGCAGGCAGCTGTATTCTGTAACAGATGGGGCATATGACTGAGGCAGCAAACAGGGTAACTTTTTCTAGGGTACTGTCACACCAACTCCTTTTTTTCTAAATAGAAAGGAGTTGTCTGGTCTTCAGCAGGTTCAGAACTCTGCAGCGACGTTACTGACTCGTACAAACAGAAAGGCCAATTTTACAGCGATTCTAAAAGCTTTTCATTCGCTCCCAGTCTCTTATCGGTTCCAGTTTAAAATCCTGATGCTGACCTTCAGAGCTTTTCAGGGTCAGCTTCCCTCCTAGATTAGAGACTTGTTGTGTCCTTATACCCCCTCTTGGAGGCTGACGACTCAGAACCAGAACCAGCTCATGGTCCCTCGAAGTTGTTACATGACCAGGGGAGATCGCGCCTTTGAAGGCGGTCGCACCGGCGCTCTGGAACGATCTTCCGCTTTCTTTTGCACTTCCTTGGTTCTGTTGATGTTTTTAAGAGTGAACTGAAAACCTTTTTTTTTTTTTTTGAAAGCATTTTATTTGTTGTAGATTAAGGTTTTTTTTATGACCTTGTCCTTTGTGACTGTAAATGTGTTTTATTTGTATTGTAATTTTGTGAAGCACTTTGTGACCTCTATGTCTCTGAAAGGTGATATGTAAATAAACATTACTTACTTACACCTTACTGATTTAGCCATTGTATGCCCGACGTCCCAGAATCTCCAAAAACGCTGGCATACACTGAACTTTCTATGTATTTTTTTTATTTTGGGCGTTTGTATAGAGTATTCATAAGGAGTCCAGAGTAGGCTTGTCCCGATCCGATCCATGTATCGGATCGGACGCCGATATTGGCAAAAAAATGCGTATCGGCAAAGCATGTAAAAATGCCGATCCAGACTGCCGATCCAGTTAAAAAAAAAAATCCGGTCCGTATTTTCCAGTTTCGCCGATTGAAACGATGCATTCCACTATTTTGCGCCAGTGTTCCCTGAATCCGGTCCGCATTTTCCAGAACACCTTCAACACACCCACAGGTCTTTTTGGGTCTGTCTCCCGGCCTAACCATTAAAACAGGTGAATTGGAAGATAGCGGGGAAAATGTCAGCCATGTGGGATTATTTTATCCTGCAGGATGTGTAGATGGAGACTAGGTGTGGAGGAGATTGGGGAGTATAAGGCATTTTTGTGTAATAGTTCACTATTATTTGCACTGATTTTTTTTTACAGTGTCTTTTTTCAAGAGTAGAGTCCTGATTCTAAGTTAATAGACTATTTTCCACTCTTGTCTGCTTTGCATTTTTATTAAAACTTACAGTAATACTTGCACCTTTAACTGTTTACGGTTTTACTGTTCACTGT